TCGTACTTACTACACACACACACACACACACACACACACACACACTATTTCTAAATACCACGATACATCTGTACCTTATGTCCGGACTCAATACACTATGAGACGGTAACAACCCCTCAGCACCGGTGCATACCTAATGCATTTCCCTTATGCATTAACCTTATTGGGGGCAGCCAAACTATTGTCCTCAGTACCGCATACACCTACCTTATTGGGGGCGGCAAAACAGTTCCCCAGTACCACTCTGCATCTGATCTTGCTGCACAGTCAATAAGTTCGGATGGCGTAAGCCCAACAGGGACAGACGGCCCCACGGACAGTCCTCCTCCGATACCCCAATAGAGATTTCAAAAGGTCTCCTACCTCTACTGTGGCGCCATGGGGTCTGAAGGGGAACGGTCCGCAGCAGTTGCCACTGTCTCAGCAGGTGTTGCCATCCCGGACGAGCCCCCAAATTGTCAGAGAAACAGAAAGTTCTCACTCTCTTGGTTCGGTACAGCAAAGACAGATACTTTATTTTCTCTTGCAATTGCGTAGAGGGAGAGAGTGCACTAGGACACAGGGTCTCCCCCTCCTAGGCAGGTCTCTCAATAGGTAAAGAGCAAGCATTTATACCTTTTGTTACAGACAATAATGAGCAACAGCTGCATTTTGTTTATACATAGGTCATCCTGATATCTTATTTTTCTCACTTATTTAGACTCTAGTCTACCATATTGTCTACACATGATCTACACAAGGTCGTAACAACTTCTCACACAGTTCTTTCCCACTCGCCTCACACAATCCTTGCTTCTACAAATCTCGCGTTATTAGGGTTAGTTAGCCTGACTCTTGCTAACAAAGACTGTTTGCATTTGAAATTCCCTTCCAAACCCTGTCAGGCCTTGCTCTGCTTCCACAAGGAGATGTGTGAGCAAACAAAAGGGCACTTTGGCAGGAACTAGGGTGACCATATCTCCTCCCATTTTGGCCAGGACAGTCCCCTTTTTGAGCTCTGTCCCAGACATCACAACTTTTTTTGCATAACTGGGCATTTGTCCCATTTGCTCTTGCCTTATGGGGACACGGAGGAACATTCGGCAAGAGCAAATGGGACAAATTCCCAGTTTTGCCTAAAAAGTTGTGATGTCTGTGATGGTGGCTTGAGCCCCATGCGGCAGGGCCTGGGCTTGGAGCGGGTCTCAGGCGATGCGAGATGGCTCGGGCGAGTGATGACGCCAGGCGGCTTGGGCCATCATCAGCCCTACGGAGCAGGGCGAGTGACAAGCAGTGACACCAGGCAACTCGGCCATAACAGGCAGCTCAGGCCGGCCCCTTGTATCGTCACTTCTGGGTATCCCGTTTTCACTTTAGGGAAATACGGTTACCCTTGCAGGAGCCCAAGGGCCACAATTAATGTGTATACAATAGCATAATAGTATGTGCTCTCTCATCGGTGGGCGTATCTTGTGGAGAAAAGTACCACCAGAATAGCGAGCAGTATTCGTGACAACACATGGAGCCTCAGGTGTCAGTGAACAAAGTAGATAGTAATTTATACCAACAGCACAATGGATAAGGTTGGGTTCCGTGTCTGAGCCAGCCAACCCCTAAGCCGGGGTAGGCAACCTATGGCAGTGTGCCGAAGGCAGCACATGAGTTGATTTTTCAGTTGCACTCACACAGCCCACCGGTCCAGGGGGGGCTCTGCATTTTAATTTAATTTTTAAATGAAGCTTCTTAAACATTTAAAAAATCTTATTTACTTTACATACAACGATAGTTTAGTTATATATTATAGACTTATGGAAAGAAACCTTCTAAAACCGTTAAAATGTATTACTGGCACACGAAACCTTAAATTAGAGTGACTAAATGAAGACTCGGCACACCACTTCTGAAAGGTTGCCGACCCCTTCCCTAAGCTCTGCCCCAGCTCTCTCGCTACCCACCTCCTGGGGCCCACACAGCGCTCTAGCTATTTCGCACTGCGCAGGTGGCCCGTGCAGACTAGAACCACCCCAGGCTCCAGCCTGAGGCGCTGGGAGCCCGACGGGCGAGCATAGCCCATGGCCGGCCGCAGCACGGCCGCTGCCCGATCTCGAGGCGCTGATGCGAAGCCGCCGGGCGACCCCCGGCATCCCGTCCCGCACCAACTCCTCGTGCAGCCAGCGCGCTCCCAACCCTGCCCTCGCCCCCCGCCCCCTGCGGGGGATGCTGTAGCCGCCGGCCGCGCAGGGCTGCCCGCTCCCGGCGCCGGCACGAGCCCAGCTCCTGCAGCACGTGTCCGCCCAGCCCTAGAACTCAGCCCCTTCCGCCCGATTCCGAGATGGCCGGCAGGAGCCGTAAGGCCGGGCAGCCACGTGACCTCCCCGGGCTTCGGCCCCGCCCCTGCTTCCTGCGGACAAAGGGGGCGGAGCTAGAGGTCTGCTGTTCCCATGCCGACTGCCGCTAGCGTCTGTCCCCTCCCTCTCTCCCCCCCGCCCCCCACCATCATACGGAGAGCGCCGAGAGACAGAAGAGGCCGGGGCGGCTGGGCGATGAAACGCGCTTCTGCTCCGGGATGGAGGGGCCGGGGCAGGTGAGACCCCAGCAGACTAGGCCTCCCCAGACAGCCCCCCCCGGTAGAACACCCTCCCGCAGCCCCTGCGCCCCCCAGGCACTGTGCCCAACTCACACTGTGTCCCCTGGCATGGGCCCCCTCCACATACTGCTGCCCCCTTTACATCTCCCCCTCCACACACACACTCTGCCCCCCCACATTGCTCAACCTATCACCCCCTTGCTCACACCCCCTGCTCAGACCCCTGCTCTCCCCCTACACCTCCCCCACACACACTCTGCCCTCCCACGCATTGCCCAACCTATTACCCCCTTGCTCTCACACACACACCTGCTGCACCCTCTACACTCGCACTCTGCACAATGTGTGTCTGATAAAATGCAAATCCCAAAACTACACCATGGAGCCATGCTACCAGCTATCAGCCTGTCACACTGACTGGCTGTGTGTTAATTTGGGCAAATCGTTGTTCTCTGTACATTCATTTCCCTCCCCTCCATAAAACTGGCAGAGTGATATTCACTCATTGTCACAATACCTAGCCCTTATCATCCATAGAGCTCAACACGCTGCACAAGAGAGGTGCAGGGCAATATAATTATCCTCATTTTACCAGTAGGGTAACTGAGACAGGGAAAGGTCAAGTGACTTGCCTCCAGTCACCCAGAGTAGTGAGCAGAACTTGAGTCTCCTAAGTCCCGCACCAAGACTCTACTCCCTGCTGAAGCACACTGCTATCCAAGGCTGAAAAGCACTGTTTTGTATAAGCTCTCAGTTCTGTGGATAGTCTTGTTTGCCGCAGAGTTTTTAAAGCAGAAGCCTCTTAGAGAAGGTAGGATTACAGAGCCATATGTTGCTTAAACCTTTCTGAGCTGGAAAAGAAAGACTGAAATCCTGGTCCTATGGAAGTCAATGAGAGTTTTGTCATTCATTGACTTCTATGGAGCCAGGATCTCAGACAGAAAGTAGCATCTCTTATATGAGGAATAGAAAATTCATATTCCCCTTTTCATACTAGAAAGAGATGAGGCCTACACCAGTGCCATCCTCTCCCAGAAATATGTGCTATAGCAAATGGTGGAGGAGCCCTTGCTGTAGGAGCTGTAGCTACAAAGGAATACTGGACGTCATCCCACTCTCATATAAAAGAGTGCAGTAACATAATGGGTCGAGTGCACAACTCTATGCATTTAAAATAGTTTTTAAAATGTGTTAAACGTTTTAGCCAGAGCCTGAAGAAGTAAGAATGACTGAAGTGCAAGAGCCTGTTGAATCACCAGCAGCAGTGATTGAGTCACCTGGGGACCAGTCACCTATAGTCGAATTGCCAACATCAGTGGACCAGTCACCTACAGATGAATTGCCAGAGTCTGTGGCTGGATTACTCATGGTTGAATTGCCAGAGTCCGAGACTGAATCATCTGTGGCTGAATTGCCAACAACTGTGGTCAAAGTACCTGTGTATGAATTGTCACCATTTGTGGGCAAGCCACCTGTGGCTGAATCAGCAGAGACTGTAGTCGAAGCACCTGTGGTTGAATCAGCAGCAGAGGTTGAATCCCCAGAAGCTGAAGAGCCGATGGTGTATGAAGACCCCTTTGAAGTTTCCCTTATGTACATGGAGAAACATAACATTCTGCAGATATTTCAGGTGAACTTTTCCTTTCCATCTCCTCCTCTTCTCCCAGTAACTCACTTGAGAAACAGAGCCTAAAGTTAGCTTGTCAGCATTGTACTGAGTCAAATGTCTGTCCACAGGCTCCCTCCACTCCTTGCCTCGTATTGGCTCATGGCCAAACCATGGAAATTGGAAGGCTGATCATTTCCAGTGATTAAAGCAGATCTAAGTAAGGGAAAGAGCTTGACCAGCAAGGAGCTGTCACCCCAGGTCATGATCCTATTTGGTGATGCGGCATTTCATCATCTTCTGGTGACAGCATGCAGGAAGGGGAAGAGAATTGGGACAAAAAGAAATGTATCGGACAGGCATTCCCATCCCCAAGCAGCAGGGCCATCTCCAAGCAAAGTGTGGCAGGAGGGCAGGGGGGATATATGCTGTATGCAGTTAGTGGAGCTGGGGGCAGCACATCCTTGGTGCTCTCCATTTCCACTCCTGCAAATGGCTTATGTACAATTGACCAGAATGGAGACTCTATATTGATGCGACAACACAAATGAGAGGCAAGGAGGATTCTGTTTCTCCATCCTCCTTTCTCACTCCCCCCCAAAAGTCCCTGCACTGAAGCCATTTGAAAGTACTTTTATGCATAATCTATTATTTATTACTCCAGTAGTACCTGGAGGGCCAAGACAAGATCAGGGCCTTGTCCTGTGATTGTCTATCTAGATTTAGGGCAGGGACTGTCAAGGGTAGGAGAAACGAAATATTATTAAATCCATGTTATAGATGGGGAACTGAGGTACAACAAGTCTATGTGACATGCCCAGGGTCACAGGGGAAGAAGCACAAATTGAATCCAAGTCTCCTAAGTCACAGTCCAGAGCCTTAGCCAAGAGTCTAGCCTTCCTTTCTTTGGTGCCCCAGCCCCCACTGAGCCAGGAGGGAGGGTATCCTCCTCCTCCTGGCTCCTGGGAAGGAAGGCAGTGAGTGTTTTTGAAAGGGGAGTAGGGCGGGTTCTTCATCTCCTTTGGCTACCCGCAGAGGAAGCAAACCTAGCTTTTTTTTTGTCTTTATCAGCCCAGGTCCTGCATTATCGCTCATGGTCCTGTTATGCTCCAGAATGTTTACAGCTAAAAATAACAGAACACATATTAAAATCCAGGAACAGAAGTTAGACTTACAGAGCTAATTGCCTGGATCACTCTTCTTTCCTTTTCAGCAGACCAGTAACATATTAGCTTTATTCCAATCCTTAGTGCCTCCAGCATTTCCCATGGGTTCTGAACAATAATTGCCAGCATTTGAGTCAACTTAGTATCCGATTCCCATGACATATTGTCCAGCTCATTTGTATTTGTTCACATTTTCCAAATGTTCCTCTACCTGTTTCTATCAATACCAGTATTTACAAGCTCCCCGTTACTTGTTCACACCTCTTTATTTTTCCATCCATCCTGTACCACATCCCAAATACTCAGTAATCTCATCCCAAAAGACAGGGCATCCCTGCCCTCGGCAGAACTTTCTGCATCCTTGAACCTATTACCTGCCTTCAGCAGGAAAATCTAATAACACTCCTACTTTCTTTCTCAGGAGATCACTGAAAACTTGGTGTATGAGAAGCCCGATGACCCCCTGCAGTTCATGTTGCTGCAGGTATGGAGTGTTTGGGTACACACACCGAGCCTGTCTTTTAGGTCTGCAGCAGAATTGTGGCTGAGCAGGCCAGAGCCGCAGTGAAGCCATGAATATTCCTCTCGCCATGAGTCTTGATACTTGGAAGGAGGAGGATAGGACAGGGGAAGAATGGCCTGGATGACAGGGTCTGAGTGTGTTTTAAAGGGGCAGGACATGGCAGGTTGGGGAAACAAGGCTGGAGGGTAGGGTCAGTGTGTAGAAGGAAAGGATACAGCAGGAGACGGTGGGGTACATAGGTCTTACAAGACAGTGTCTGGAATTGTGAGGGAAAGATCATGGACAGAGAATGATCTATCAGCAATGGGAGGGTTTTAAAATACAGAGAACTAAAAGCTTGTGGAGTGAGAGACAGTGGGAATGGGGGAGGGGTTGGGGGCACAACAAGAGATGGGAAGGGATTACAGTAAAGACAAAAGAGAAGGAAGGGCAGAAAGAGGATCCCTTTCATCACTCCCCTCTCCCAGGGAGACAGACCCCATAGAATATCAGGGTTGGAAGGGATCTCAGGAGATCACCTAGTCCAACCTGCTGCTCAAAGCAGGATAAATCCCCAGACTTTTTTTTTTATTATTTTAATTCTAGTTCCCTAAATGGCTCCACAAGGATTGAACTCACAACCCTGGGTTTAGCAGGCCAATGCTCAAACCACTGAGCTATCCCTCCCCCAACTGTTTTTTAAAAGCGACAGAGTCCTGTGGCACCTTATAGACTAACAGACGTATTGGAGCATAAGCTTTCGTGGCTGAATACGCACTTCGTCAGACTCTTTGTCGCTTTTTACAGATCCAGACTAACACAGCTACCCCTCTGATACTGTTTTTAAAGGGGACCGAAGTCTTGTCCTGTACTTCAGTTTTCAGAGCTGGCAGAAGCGGTTGTGGTGCTATCTCTGGGCTCCAGTGTTATGGCATTGGAGAGTGACTTGACCACTTTCTTCTCCTCCACAGGTGCAGTCCATGATGAACAAGCAGCTGGAAATGGAGGAGGAGGAAGAGGAAGAGGAGGAGCTGGCCGGTGACAGCTTCTACACAGCAGAGAACTTTCCTGGTGGCCAACAGTGACCTTGGCAACATGGTTGTTAGCACAGGGCCTCTGGCCAGCACTGCACTCTCATGCTTGGTGAAAATGGTTTTGAACAGGTCTGATGGTAACTGAGCTTCCTGGCTTCTCTTGTTCTGGGTGCTGTGCTTCCAACTGCTTGTAAATTATGCAACTGCGTGTTATCATTGATACACAAACCTCCTAAGAAACACACACACAACCCCCTGAACATTCCTGCCTATCCCCAGGGCCGGCGCGACCCATTAGGCGACCTAGGCAGTCGCCTAGGGCACTGCGATTTATGGGGCGACGACCGCAGCGGTATTTCGGCGGCGGGACCTTCCGCCGCCTCTGTGGGGGGGATGGCATTTCAGGGCGGGACCTTCCGCCGCCTAGGGCAACGGAAAAGCTGGCGGCGCTCCTGCCAAACCCACCACACAGCTTGTACACACAGAGGCTACATTTCTGTGCACACAGACCCTACAGCTCTGATCTCACACATGCACAGACAACAGCACAAACCCACAGCAATCAGACTTAATGGCTCTTGACCCAACCAGCCCTTGAACACTTACACATGTCTCTACCTTCTCTGTTCTGTTTTGGTGGGTGGTCTGTCCCAAGCTGTCATAACAATCCACTGTATAACAGTTTGGAACTCCAGTGTCCACACTGGGAGAGGACTTTCTCTGTCCCTCTCCCTCCTAGAACACCCTTGCCCCACACTGGAAGGGACGGTTTCCCCTCAGCTCTCCCTGCTGAGTTCAGATCACTCTGTCCTTTTGTATTCTTCTCTCTGTCATGGCATGTACAATTCCTATACACACACAACTAGAAGGTGAAGTTAAGGTTGCAGGGACATGTGTGGCTTCAGAGCATATCACCTCTTAAAAATACTAGTTGAATAAAAAACAAAAACAAGTGATAGAAACCCAGGAAATTTAGAGTTAAAGGGTACTTCTCAAACAAGTAACGCAAATTACTGTTATCTATCATTCAAGTTACTTATACGTAGGGTGACCGTATTTCCCAAAAGGAAAACAGGACACCGTGCAGGGCTGGTCCAAGCACCCTGCACCCCGGGGCTGGCTGGAGCAACTCACCCGAGCCTTCCTCCCCTCCCCACAGGGCCTGAGTCGTTCACCCAAGTCCTGCTCTCCCCCAACCCATATGGGGCTGGTGTCACTGCTTGCTTCAGCCCTACCTGCCCCTACACCAGAGCTCTGCCTCCCATCCCCTGCACCAGGCTGGCATTGCCACTCGCCCCTCCACCCCCCCCACATGTTCCGCCGCACCCCATTTTTTTTGACACAAGTGGGCATTTGTCCTGTTTTCTGTTGGCAAGGCCAAACGAGACAAAAGTCCACTTTTTCCAAAAAAGTCGGGATGGCCGGGACAAGGCTTAAAAAAGGGACTGTCCTGGCCAAAATGGGATGTATGGTCACCTTACTGATATGTTTCAGAGTAGCAGCCGTGTTAGTCTGTATCCGCAAAAAGAAGAACAGGAGCTATATGCATCCGAAGAAGTGGTCTGTAGTCCACGAAAGCTTATGCTCTAATAAATTTGTTAGTCTCTAAGGTGCCACAAGTACTCCTGTTCTTCTTCTTACTGATATGGTCCTCATCACCATAGTATCTGAGTGCCTATCTCCACCCCCTTAGAAATGTCTGCTTACACTGCAAGTATAGAAAATGTGCACTGTAGAACATTGGCTTTATAATTTATTTCATGCATACCTATCTCCAGTACTTAGTATGCTGTTTTGGCACCACACTGACCTTTTCTCTTTTTAGGTAAGTGCTTTAATATCATGATCTAGGTCTTTGAGGTTTGTATATAGTCACATGCTAGCTCTGTATCTAATGGTATTTGAATAGTTACCTAATGCCGGTCCTTTCCACTCAAGGATCTCCAAGCACTCAGAACTATTAGTTAATCTATTGTATTCCATTTTAGAGGCATGTGAGTACCATCTTTCTTTTACAAATAGACCATGATCCTGTAAGGCATGGAGGGCCAGATTTTTACAGGTCTTTAGGTGTTTAAAGATGCTAATAAGCACCTAGTGGGTTTTTAAAGTGTCCTTAGCAGGTTAGGTACTTAACTCCTATTGAATCACTTAGGCGCTTTTGACATTCCCATTAGGTGCCTATCTGGCCCTGAGTGCCCTCAGCACCTGAGAGAATTGGACCCTTAATGAAATGTGGGGAATGATTGTTTTCAGGCTGGTGGTATTTGTCTAACCAAGGCTTTTTGTAAAACCCTTTGATGTGCATTGAGTATGACTGTTAGGAAGGCTGGAAAGCAGCAGCATTACTGTCTGATGAAGACTGAGCTTTTCTAGCTTTTTATGCCTACCTATCAAGGGAAACTTTATTTGAGATGGATAAGTTAGTGTGTCATTCTGATTCTTTTGTCAGGATATTGCTGTGAAACAGAGTTAAGATGCCTGGGGTACCTGGCTTAAAAAATGCAACTTTAACTCTGAATTGACTGGGTTTCTAACATTTAATTAAGCATTGTGTTTTGATGTTTGTTTTTTAATTTCTAACATTCCTGAAAGGCCATATGCACTCAAACCACTGATGAGCCTGCAGCTGTAACTTCACATTACTGAAGTTTTTTGTGGGGGGAATTTCCTCAGTTTCTTTTAAATGGCCCTAAGGTTGGCTGGAGAGGAGCCCTGACCTGTTCCCACAAATCCTATGAGTTTTGCAAGAGGGGAGGCTCAAACTGGCAGTCCTTAGGAGGTCCAGGGGAAAGAATACCTCTTTGGTCTGCTGACTGCATCATTTCCTGCTACTAACAGCTCCACCCATTCTTGGAGGGGAGGCTTCCCATGGGTGCACAATAGAGGGAGCTGAACTCTTGCAAACTTCCATAGGTTCACAGGAACAAGGCTCCTCTCCTGCAAGGACCAGGAGGTGCACAGGAATACAGCCCCATTCCTTTCAACTGCGTGATGTTTGAAGGACTGGAGCTGGCTGCCTATGGCTGGCAAGAGAGTTGGGGTGAGGACTGTAGAACTAAGAAAAACTTCCTTCTTGTTTCTCAGGAGGTCCACTAGGAGAAAGGACTGGCTGAGAACAGGGCTTTGATGGGGGTAGCCGTTACCCCATTCCCCTGAACCTCCTGCAACCCACAGAAATAGGGAGACCCACTTGTGAACCTTCCAACAGAAAAATCTCCCCCCCCCCCCCCTTTGACGAGCCTTCCAAGTTGATCACATTACATTTTTAGCTCTCTCTCTGCAAGGGAAAGGGCTGGAGACTCACATTTAAAAAAAAAAAAAGGAAGTTAAGGTCTCCAGCAATCATGTGATGTCTTGTATTCAGATTGCCAGAGCTGACCTTCCTGGCAGCATTACAGAATGAAATTTAAATAACTTTTAAAATCAAACTTTAAAAACTATATTTTGGACCTGGGTATCTCAGCTAAGGGAGTCCAGTAAAGTAGATTTTATCACTGTCCTTTCTATCAGAAGAATTATGTGGAACCCTGGACATCTCTATTTAGGATGTCATAAATCAGAACCCCCTTGTCCGATTTGCTTCAAAGTTAGAAAAAAAAAATTAAAATCTCTTAGCCCCAGATATAACCAGATAATTTTGAGGGTGATATTTTGAGGCCTTGCGGGGTGGGGGTGGAGGGGGTTCTATCAAGGGGAAGAGGGAGCAAATCGGAGTTTAAAATGGAAACTTAGTTGCAGTCTTGTCTTTGGAAGGACTGTCCCTGTTCTGTAATGTTTCCCCCTAAGCCATGGTTCCCTGTTGATACGTGGATACAGAGTGGCACAACTGTCTCTAATAGCAACTGGCAAACTTCTTGTTGTCTTCAATGCTCTGAAGGAACTCTCAGTTCACTGTGGGACATGGTACCATCCCTCAGACTATTTCATATACAAATCTGACTATTCTATATAGGTTCTTAAACTGTGCTCATCACCATAGTATCCGAGTGCTTTCCAAAGGTGTATTAAGCAACGTGACTAACATCTGTCACACATTGTTAGCATGGTTGCCAACTTTCACGCCATAAATTAGCACTCCGACTTTCACAATAAGCCAGAAATCAAGTTAATCCCATTTCAAAACAAGGCCAAAACAAACCAATCCCTAAGAACCCCACCACTCTATGTGACTAGATTCCCCCAGTGTACAGTCTAGGACTGTGGTGGGCCTGCTATGCACCCCAACTCTCCCCACCCCCCTTGCCCGCCCCTGCTTGCTGGGAGCCGATCAAAAAAAAAGAAGCAACAAGCTACAAGCCAAAAACTAGGCAACAAACAACTCACAAGCCAATTAAGCCAAAAACTAGGGTTACCATACGTCCGGATTTTCCCGGACATGTCCGGCTTTTGGGGGTTCAAATCCCCGTCCGGGGGGAAATCCCCCAAAGCCGGGCATGTCCGGGAAAATCGGGAGGGAGGGATGGAGGGCTCGGCCGGGGTCTCTTTGGCCGGGGTCGCGGGGCCGGGGCATGGTGCCGGGCCGGGCGCGGGGCCGGGCGGGGAGCCGGGGGCGCGGTGC